GGAAATGCTTGCTGGACAGTTCGTTTTCGATTCCTTCCGCAATTTTTTAACAAAAATCCACCATGGGTGGGCTGTATATGCTTTGGCTCAGCCTTCAATGATTCAGAATGAGCCGTTAATTTAGTAATTAATTTGTTATGGTTTGATTTGTCTCATATTTCTAATGACAAATGAGTATCTTTAGTTCCGTTGATGTCTAAAATCGAACACAAAAATCCTTGGCGTATTTCACTGCGTGTGAAAAAACAACGAGTTATTTGGGAATGGCCCGATAGTTCTAGCATTTTGCCAGCCTTATTCATCTGCTGGTGAAAATGATAATGGCTTTCTCTTACAGGGCTACTTGAGAAGCAAGTCGATGATGTATTGACTCCCTAGCCTACGAAAAATTCCAGTAAATTTGCCACTGAGACCTATCGTAAAAGACTAGATGGTAATTTCCAGCCAACGGTTCGATCCTAAGAGTAACAGCTACTTGTGCCACTAGAGCAGGGCTATTCAATTTTTGTATTCTAAGATAATGATTATTTTCCCCCTGTTGCGCAGAGTGCTTCATTTATCCAATTGCAGCATCATCACTTCACGGAGGATATCCAGACTCGTCAATATCGCAGTTTGGAAGTGCTCATAGGTGCTGGTTACGGTCCGCCTGCTGATATCTGGAGCACTGCTTGCATGGTATGCCTCGTTTCTCATTACTTTGTCAAGAGGACACAACTCGCTTACTGCTCTTGATACAAAGCACAACCTTTTTTTTTGATTTGATTTATGGTACTTGACTTTAGTAATCTGCAAACGCAAAGTGTATATGAACGTAATGACTATAGAGGGCTAATGATGCAAATGTGGCACGCATACTGTGTAATAGCAGTACAAAACGCATACTGTCACGGAGTTGTCTGTGTGTGTGTGTTTGTGTGTGTCCCCCACATTTTGTCCCGCACTTTCAACTGGGAACCACAAAAGCTAGGCGGCTGAAATTTTAGTATAGTGTTCCCCGCCAACGGGTGACGCGGCAAATTTAATTTCAGCCTTCCCGTACTCGCTGGTAACACGTACGGCCACGTAAAAGTTTTCCGGGTAAAATCAGTATTTCGGAAACCACGGAAGGTAGAAGGCTGAAATTTTGTAGGCATGTCCCTGCCCACGTACTACTCAGAAAATTTAAATCCTTCTTTCCCCTGCCCGCGAGTAACAAATACGGCCTTGAAAAAATTTTTGACGGGTGAATTATTATCTTGGGAACCACGGGGTCTAGGAAGCTGAAATTTTAGG